CCCCAAGAGACCCACCGGTCGGCCTTTAGTCACTTTTGGATTCGTTACGAGACGTCTCACGACTGGAAAAGTGACAGAATTTACCAACCAGTGGATACACGCACGAGGGTTCGCAAACATTTAGTCATTGTTGCCTAAGGCTCCGTAACCAAATGTCAGTAAAGAGGGCCAAGAGTCAGTGTGTGTGTGTCTGGGTTTTTTTTTTCAGCTTGTTTGGTTAATTTCAAATATTCTTTTCATTTTACAAAAAAAAGGAAAAGAAAACTTCACTTAATTGGCCTGAAGTTCCAAAGTCTGAAGTTCCTCTTCTGCATTTTTATACAATTTATGTATTTAGTTGTGTATTCTTTTTTTTTTTTTCCTTAAAAAACCATCAAAATATGTTACTGGCTGAACAAAATACCTAATTTCCAGGCTAAACTTGATCACAAAAGCCACATTATTGGCATTAATTGTTCATTAAAAGTGTTTAATCATTAAGAAATCTCCAATCTCTACACTTTAACGCGTGTAAAAACGTTTTTTTCCCTTCCTCCCTGTCTCGATAAATGACTTAACTTGACAAGAACCAGAAAAGAGAGAGACCTCTCATCTCTCTTTTTTCCACCTACTTGCCCTTCCTCCGGGTAGACATTTCACACATTGCATACGTCAAGAAAAAAAAATACCGCTACCCTCTGCAATAACTGGAGCTTTTAGCTAAACACTCCCCCCCCCCCCCCCCTTTCAGACGACTGGGAGAGCGTAAGCGAGCACACACACACACACCCCCCTTTCTCGCGAGCAGAGCCCCATATAAGGGCATGCTGATGATGTAATGGTCCACAAGGCAAAAAAGGGGAGCACATCCCTTATTGTTTGGGCCGACTTACAGGAATGCCCACACTACAGCCAGTCAGAGTCAGGAGGGGAAAGAGCGTGGAGGGGTTGTTTTTTCGCCTGTCATTTCGGCAGATAATGAGCTGGGGCAAGCGGTAAAAGCACGGGGGAAAAGTCACAGGTAGGCAATCCGAACCCAAACAAAAAACTTTGTATTCAGGAGGCGAGAAAAAGGGAAAAAAAAGAGGAGAGAAAGGTCTGAAACTTTTAAGAAACAGCTGTTGATCTGTTGACAGGGTCGGTCAGAGATGTTCTTGTGTACTTTGTCTAGTTATTTTGTGTATTTTTTCATATTTGTATCCACTGTTAGGTGGATTAGGTCAAACCGCTTGCTGTTTAAAATGCTCCAGATCCAAACCTTTTTGCAACAAAGTGACATGCTTTTTAGAAAATAGAGTGTTTGTGTTTACAATGTAATACCCAAATCTTGTCAATTGATTTAGAAATCGTTAAACAAATGACAATGAGTTCATCCGAAATTAAACTAGATGGGGCTTTTAACAAGAGGAAAAGGTCAGATTTAGAGGTCTTAACCATTTACATGGACCTCAAATCCATGCAAATAGTTCAGCAAGTAGCATAACAGTTTTAGTTTTGGCTAATGTGAAATATAATAAACGATAACAATAATTAAGGCATACATTGTACTTTAGGTATCGGATGTTAAATCTCCTTTTTTCAAAAAGAGGCTTTTGTATCATGTTTTGTTCATTTCAAAGGGGAAAAAGCCACATTGCATTGAAAGTGAAATGTTTCCAGCCATCATATGGCTGAGTGGGATTCCATTTTAAAATCTCACTGTAAAAAATTAACACAGTTTAAAGTACACGCCGATGCCAAAATAGCTAAAACATGCTTCTTATCAGATGATAATGTGCACCATCGTGGGCCCGTTTCAAGCAGCGCCGAACATCTGGAAATAAATTAGAACTACGACATTTTCAAGCCAAATAGGAAGTTTGTATGCATACTTTTTTTTTTCTTACGTTACGTAATCACACACCTCTAAATTCGACATATTACAAGACTTATAGTTCTTGTTGATCTAAGGCGAGGAGAGGATTAGATACGATACCTGAATCGTAAATCTTACTGTCAAAAAATGCCTGTTAAGTCGAAAACGGCCTTGTGGGACACGATGGAAAGATTTATCTCCTGACCCGAAAAAATAGTTTTTTTTCACGTTTGTTTTCTTAACACACCACTCCCTGCTCCGTTAAACCCACTACTTCATACTCAGTTAAAGAAGAGAGCGCTATATTTCACACGTTTTGATTGGTCTCCGGGGGCGTATCGCTTTAAATTAGGGCCTCTGCACCCCCATCCATCGACGTCCTCCTCTGTCCCCATCGGGAGGATGTCCACACGTCTCCTGACCATTTGGGATGGACAGGGCCCAGATTCACGTCTAGAATAAATGACCTAATTACTCGTGGCGAGGAAACACATATGGAACACGTGGAGCAGTTAGCCACAGTTTCCATCCTCGGGAGTCACTTAAAAAAGGGGAAGCCCTCAGTAAAAAAAAGTTGTAACATGTTTCTTCACCAGACTCCTAACTGGATGCTTCCTCCTTTTATTTCAATGTCAATTTTCATTAAGACAGCGTAGGGTCGGAGTCAGAAACTATCCGGAATACAACCAAGTTACGACACTTCCCTGATGGGGGTGGTCACGCGTTTGTTAAAAAGTGCGGCCATTGTGAGAACCGTGACATATTGCCAGCTTTTTTGTGTCAAACTTGCAATTTTCTGACTTCGTAATGAGTCATTTTCAAGATTTATGCAAGTCTGCATGAGCGCACATGACCACACATGGCAACTACTTCAGCTGTAGTTCACTCTTCATGTTTCTTATCCAGTGAGTGAAAAGTTGCTATGATAACATAAAGGCAAGAATGAATTAAATGTATCAAAATGACCCTCTAATGCCGAAAACGGCACCGTCTAAACAAAAGGTGATTCGAATAAGGAGTGAGTGTTCGAAAAACAAGAGATCAACCCGGTTTTCTTGGCCCCCGCTTGGGAACAAAGTGCATTTCTCTTTCTATTTCGGCCGATGACATCACTAGAAAAACAGCGGGGACCGAGATAAGAGGTTGAGCAAATAGTGATTACGGAGGACGGGCCGGTTTGGGAGAGAGATGTCTGCCTGTTTTAAAGAGTTTTGCTTAGCAACTCCGTGTTTATCTCCACATACAGTTCACACCGTAGAAAAAAAAGAGAGAAAAATGTATTTTTCAACACAGCCCAGACTCTCACCTTAATTTATTTTTCTATTAACATCTCTAAAAAACCCCGGATGTAACACTGACCATCTCAATCCACACAAAATTAACTAAAAAATTAACTGGAGCATCCGCTGTAGTGATGGAACCCAAAGAAACTCCGGTTTGGATTTTAAAAATACATACAGTGGGGGAAATAAGTATTTGACCCCTTGCTGATTTTGCAGGTTTGCCCACTTCAAAAGAATGCAACGATCTATAACTTTAATCATATGTACATTCTAACAGTGAAAGACAGAATCCCAAAGAAAATTTAAGAAAATCCCATCATATGAATTTATAAAAATTGATAACCATCGGATGAGGAAAAATAGGCATTCTTTGTAAGTGGGCAAACCTGCAAAATCAGCAAGGGGTCAAATACTTATTTCCCCCCACTGTAAC